TCCAATCCCGAAGAGCACTTATGGCATCGATGTGATCCTTCCGCGTAGCGAGCTGGATGTTCTTCCCGTTTGGGCTGCTTCGGCCGCGATCTCGACGTCCTTTCACGGTGCGGGCAGCGATTCTAATGAACCTCGGGGCGTTAGGCTCAATTACATCGAGGATGCTGAGGCGAGGCACTGGGCTGGTTTTCCGAGTGGATTTGGCATGTTTAACGACCCTCGGATTTTTCTGTTGTCTGCGAGCATTTGGCTTTCGTCCTCCTTCTCCTAAAGATCGAGCATGCAATGGCGGGTTTTGTTTAGAATGTGCTGTTGCTTTAGAGGCTTTGGGGGGCAATCCACTGGCAGGTTTAGACACCTTTTGGCGTTTTGGTTGACTGTTAAATGCGTCGGGTAGTTTCGTCTGACGTTTTCGGCTAGCGAGAAGAGGCTCAATATAGTCATGTTCCATAATAGACTCGTCATCTGATGAGATCTCATACATAGGCAAGGTTGTCGTATTCTCAATCTCAAGAGTTGTTTGTATGTGCATAGGCCTATCCTGCCCTTTGTCGTTTGGAACTTTGACGGGCTCTTCTTCAGACTCCTCAAAGAGGAAATCATTACCATTAGAGAACGAAGACGCTTCCTTTCGCCGTGCAACACCACGTCTGTTGTCATCGAATGGCAAGGGATCTAGTGGTCGGCGGGTAATCTTTCTCTGAAATTTGTTTCGGCTGCTCTTCTGATCCAAGCGAAGCCAGGAAGCGGGGAGAACACCTTTGATCTTACGACTGTTTTGGTTGACAATGTCAGACTCACTTTCAGATGACGCACTTGACAGTAGATTTCCGTCCTCGAGTTGGGATTGTTCTGACGATTCAAAGGGGTCAACGGTTTCGGCAGAATCATGATAAGCCATCTGCAAGTCTTGCGAGATAGAGGAAGGAAGATTGTATGATGTTGGGCCCATTGGAGACAAAGTGGTTGATTTAGGAGAGGATGCAAGCCCATCTCCTCCTAGACCGATTGCTGGCCGTGAAGCAATCCTAGACACATCCATGGGATCCGGCGAACCTGGTGGCATAATAAACTTCGGTCCTCCACCGTCAGGAACAGGGTCAAGATGAGGCTCTCTGTCCCGCCTATGGTTCTTTGAGGGCCGATAGGCGCGACGTTTGGTGCTCCTCTTCGTATCGAATTTGTATCGACCTGACATTAAATCTTCTAACGATGGCAACTCCTCCCCATCCAACGTCGTGTTATCAGTGTCGTCATGAATACTGCGTTGGCTGCTCTCGTTCCTGTCATTTGGTGGATCTAACGATCTCTGTGAAGAGGAGGCAGTATTCCGGTCAAGATCCACTGACCCTTCATCCAAAATGTGTTGGGAGGCTGATTCCTGAGTTTCTGGTTGGAACTCTGCTTCCCCCAGCAACTCTTCGTCATTTTGATCCCTTCGGTCTTCATCATTGGCGATTCTAACAGGCCGGAGGCCATGCTGCCTCCATTCAGAGTTAAATCGAGCTCTTTCGGTCTGATACGGTCGTAGTTGCTCTGGTTTTCGTGTTCGGAGTGATCTTTCGTTTGAAACAACTAGCCTCTGGGCAGCTAGGAGCTCTTCAGCATCGTGGCCAAGAATCTGACTCGGCAGGGGTGATAACCGTTCTAGGCTACGAGGAGTTGGCGTGTCACGCTGCAGTGTATCATATTGATAAAGATCGTTCGGATATGAATCCACCACCGGCGCCTCGGACAGAGCTGATGATGATAGAGGAGGAGGAGGGTCATTCGATGTATCGAGGCCAGGTTGGGTCGCGTAATACGAATCGCTGGGGGCGCGAGACGGCGACAGTGTCGACAAAGACGAGTCAACCGACAGCTGCTTGCTGTGTTGGAAGGTTAGAGTGTCCGATTTCGCCAGGCCATCATCATCCTGAGAAGACGGAATGTCCCAGATATCCTTCACCCCAATCGGAGTCTTCGATGATACTGATCCTTGGAGAGTTGGCGGCAAAGAAGGCTGGTCGGTGATCTGGCTATCAAAGTCGTCATCCTCCGAGTCGGGGACCTCGCCACTTTCTCTCCAGTTGGCCATCCTGTAGCTCTTGTCATGATATTACGTTCTCTGGCAAACATGTCGTCGCGCGATTCATGATTGAACGCTAATAAATGGATAGAATCTAGCTGGGAGAAACCGAAAAGTTTCGCCGGAGGCTATGAACAGTGTTGCAAAGGGGTCAGTTTCACGGTGTGCCTTATCGATATCCAAACCGTTTTCTCCCACCTGCTTTAACGCGTTACTGAAATATCCTGACGCGTGCTGGGTGTGGGTACCTTCACTCTAGTGCATGTAGCGGAGAGGCACCCGGAGCACACAGAAAAGTACCCTCTTGAGGCAGACAAGTACCTACCCCAAGTTAGTGTGCCAGATACTTCACCCCTACCAACTTCTTCCGGATAAGCACCCCACCTTTTGAAGGTGGTACCTACCACCTAGGTAGGTAGGTACCTAAGTACTACTCCTAGAGGCACATCCCCTCAATAAATTCAACTCCAAATGCAATTGCCCAATGAAATCTCAACCATCGATCTCCAAAATTTGCTCGGTGTAAGAAAAGCAACAAATACTACCTGAATCAACCTTTACCTCAGGGCCGAGATGGGTGCATTGGAACGAGGCGTGCCCTTGGCACTTGCGATATTCTGCGGTGTCGCTGGAGGTATATAACTCCATTTGTTTTTAACACACCCAAGCCATTACCTTTGAGAACCGCCTTGACATGTACCAGGTTTATTCACCTTCCAGCCGTACTTCGTACAGCAGCAACAGGAAAAGCTTTCGAAAGCCGCTGAAACGCCCCAACGGTAGGATACAGCAAAGTACCGATGCCATCAATGTGTACGCATTCATGATGCTGATAGTCCGTATACAGACAGTTTAATGAGGCAAGTAGCCACCAGGAGTCGCCAAACTCGACGCCAAACAGGCCTCAGTAAAATAGATTGATACCCTCAAGAGAATCGCACCATATATGTGAAGGTCTGCCGGAGGGAATCATGGAATTTCCCCCAAAACACGCAGGACGTTTACTGCTTTCAAGCTGTATACACACCAAGGCTGAACAGCGGCAGCAGCGAGACTCCAGTCTACGATGTATTATAGAATAGAATGATGAGAGGTCTACAACAAGCCTGTACCACATTGGCAGGTTTGGATCCTGGCGAGCGTTTCATCTATGACGCTAGTTATAATCTCACAATTAATTGTGTTTAATGGATAGGGCTGCAGATTGGCATAACTGGTTTTCAAGCACTGTGAAGATGGTTACATCGCGTCTAATCTGATATGGAAATCGACCAGTCTTTCACAAGTGGGAAGCGGCTGGTCAGACAGAGAGGTAGCTTGTTCCTCAAGATAGAGTTCAGAATCCACATCCGAACTGAAAAGGGACAGAATCGTCGTTTTAGGCAACCTTCGTACACTCATTTGCGAATCCTTACTTCACCCGTGCGCATATGAAAGGCGATTTGATAAATCCGTCAACGACAGCGGCGGCTCTTCCCGATCATGGCCTCCACTTGATCAGACCACTTTCCTAGAGCGAGCTTGGAGAGCCACCACGTGACCCAGCTAGGTATCTTTTTCTGCCTTAGTCAGCAGAACAGACCTTGCCGAGCTCTAACGAGGGACGAAATCGTCAGCAGACTTCTTTCCCAAACGCCTGGCCCGGAAAACACTCAATCATCGACTCTCCTCAACCGGCCGAAGTCGACGAATTTGCGCCAATTGACCTTCACCTCTCCCATTTACTCAATCTCCAATTGATCCGAGATGCTGCGCACCCAGGCGACGAGTGTGCTGCGCAAGAGCTTGGTGCGCAGTCACGTCCCACTCGCCCGTGCTGCCTCAACCCACGCCATCTCCAACCCGACTCTTTCCAACATTGAGAAGCGATGGGAGGGCATGCCCCTCCAGGAGCAGGCCGACCTCTGGATGGCCCTCCGTGACCGTATGAAGGGCAACTGGAAGGAGTTGACGGTCCAGGAACAAAAGGCCGGTGCGTGCTTTTATACATTTCTTCGTTCTCAAGCCCCTCCCCCAAATACCTTGGGTCTCATGACGCCGAGCAATTGGATACCACTGTGCTCTTAATGTTGCATCTCGTCGCAATGTCTGCCCCAATCAATTCATGTCTGGGATGGCCAGATGTTGGGACCCTGCAACTTTTCTTCTTTGAATTGGCCACAGTGAAATAGCAGCTCTATCATTGGCTGATTTCTGTCCGGGACAATTTCGGCAATGCCACCAAACATCCCTTGGAAAGACATTCACCTTATATGCCAGCATCATGGGCTAACAAGTATATATTTCAATAGCTTACTGGATCGCCTTCGGTCCTCATGGCCCTCGCACAATCGACCCCCCTGGTAGCACCGCCCGGATGTTCTGGGGTATCGCAGCTGGTCTCGGCGTCAGCGTTGCCATCTTCGCAGCCATCCGTCTGGCCGCCAAGCCTGCTCCACACACCATGAACAAGGAATGGCAGGAAGCCTCCAACCAAATCCTTATTGTGAGTCGCTTCTCTTCCAGTTTAACCCTTGTCTACATGCTAACCAGTCTATAGGAACAAAAAGCCGACCCCCTCACAGGTATCACCTCGGAGTCTTACAAGGGCCCCGGTATGGTCCAGTCTCGTCCCAAGGTTTAAGCACTTTCTGGGAGTCCCTATTCAACAATACCGCACCTTTATTAGTTTTCCTTTGTGACAGAGCACGAGTCGGACTTGCGGAAGCCTTTCACCGTGTGTACATGACATAAGTCGAGGAGAGGTTGGAGATGGCTTGCGTGGGTGGGCGGTGTAAATACTGTACTACATCAACTGAACTCAGAGTTCGATCGAATTCCTTTGTGTGCTACCACTACATCCCCAAGTCAAATGCATAATGATTGTAATTATCCAATGGATAAATTGTTGTTGGGCAGGATCTAAGCGCTTTTGATGCTGGTATCCTGCGCTCTAACCGCCGCTTTCCCCAGCTTCCCTGTACTGTTCGAATGTCATTTCTGGCTGTGTCTCGGGATGCTTTATCTTCTCCTCCTGGGTTCTCCTATCGAATTCAAAGCGGCCGTCTCGGCCCCAAGTGGCAGCCTTTTCAGTACCATGGACACATGCCTCGGTTATAAGGACATAAGGTGTTGGAGCCTCGAACATTGGCTCGGCAAGAACGCGCTCCAGCTCCATCTTGAGCCCTCTAGCGCCAGTCCCCGCTGCTGATGCCCTTTCAGCAATGGCGTATAAGGCCTTGTCAGTGAAATATAAACACGAAGGGTATGTCTCGAAGAGGGCAATGTACTGGGCTGCCAAGTTGTTACGGGGCTCTGTCAGAATTCGAAACAGATCATCTTTCGAAAGTGGGCTGAGAGCGCATATGTTATGTAAACGACCAATAAGTTCAGGAATAAATCCAAATGCCTGGAGATCGTCGGGTGTTGCCAGATCCAAGGGCGTGAAAGAAGACGCTGGCACAGATGAAAAGTAAGGGAGATGGGCATAAAGCTTGGGGGCAAGTTGCTGTGAGACTCCAGAAATGGCCATCCGGCCTTCCAGCTTCCCCCCAAAGCCAACAGATGGCTTCGCAACCCGCTTGAGAATAGTTTTGTCCAGGCCTACGAAAGCGCCACAAAATACGAACAGAATATTCGTCGTATCGATTATATATTGGTCAATTTTGCCTCCCGGTGGGTTTGTCTGAGCCGCGGATGATGAAGAACCGGAGGAGTTGAAGTTTGTCGTTATGGGAGGCGCGGACCGCGATGAGCGGTTATCCTTGACGTTTACTGTCACTTTAGTGCCTTCTACAAGCTTGAGCAGAGCTTGCTGAACACCTTCGCCGCTGACATCACGGCCTGTGTGCACTTCCCTGCGCGCAATCTTGTCGAACTCGTCCAATACCACGATCCCTTGCTCGGCGGCTTTAACATCGTAATTGGCTTCAATGAGAAGGCGCTCAATGCATGATTCTACATCCTGTCCAATATAGCCGGCTTGCGTAAAGGAATTACAGTCGCATATCGAGAATGGGACGTTTATCTTCTTGCTCAGAGTTCTATCATTGTGAGCTATCTAGACATCACGACGTTGGGTAGATAACAAAACTTACTCTAAGATATAAGTCTTCCCAACCCCGGTGGGACCGATTAATAGGATGTTGCTCTTGTCGATTTTGACAGGCTCAGGGTTGTTCTGGTCATCGTGTGCGTAAAGGCTGTCGAACGGGTCTTCTTGAAATTCCGGAGGGTCGTGGATGGGTCGGAGTGATTCGAAGTGGCCGGGAAATTCGTCTTTAAATTAAGGGTTAGCGAGTAGTAGCATGATACTCAGGAGCAGCGAACCTTCAACGGGATGGGTATCACGACGTCGTTGGTGAAATTCCCTGTCGCGAGATAGCCTCTGCCGCATAACCTTCTCCTTTCGATTTCTTTCGTCGTGCTCGTGCTGACGCCTTCTTCTCACGTTTTGGTAATGGTTGAAGATGGTTGCACATATGGCTTTCTTCGCTCGGTCTTGGCCCACGACATAGTCATCTACTCGATCCTTAAGATCTCGGGGATAGAAACGGGGTACACCGAAGCTAGTTTTCGAGAACATTGGGCCTCGCCCAGTGTTGGCTGTGGGATCATAACTGCCATTGAAACCGGAATTCAAGTCCAGGTTCGATCTAGGGGAGGCATGCCGGCTCGTCGTAGATAGGTGCCGACATGGGCGGCATTTGGAACAGGGGAGGCTCCGCCTGGCTAAGAGGGCGCTACCGGTAGATGTTGAAAGCCTCAGTGATGCACAGAACATGATTTGATGCCGCATGCGATCGCACACTCTGGCACCTTTGAAGATGGCGGCGTCAGGACGGCACAGTCCAGCCGGCGGTTTAAGCCGAAAGAGGCGCAAGACCCGCCTCACAGTGATATCCGCCAGCAACAACCGAGGGGACGTCCTTCCGAAGCGTATTATGCTGCGCCAAGTGAGCGATGTTTCCGCCGTACCAGCGATGAAGGGAGCACCACCAGATTAAACGAGGGGCAATGGTTGATTCATGGGAGGCTGCTATGAGACCAAAGGTGAGGAGAGTTCTCCGCGTTCGGACCATAGTCTGACCAAATCCAAAGGTGCGCTACTAACCCGGCAGGCGAACACCACTCGTCGGATCTGGGTAACGGTAAAGTATAATGAGTCAATAATGTCGCGCGCCTGTACTTCCAAGATACCTTGATACAGCTGGCTTACTCATCCAATAGTTTGCAGTGTACCAGGCAAGCCAGGGATTGCTTTATTAGCCTAGATCTTAGTGTCTAGCGATAAGAGGATTCTTATCAGGTACTACACTCATGACAGCCTGCATTCCTGCCTTCAAACTCGAGGGTTGGAAACCTCTGGTGCATTATCAATAACTGCTCCAGTAACAGATCCAGAAAGGGGAGAATCAATCAACTACTACGTAAGCCGTCCTGTTGACGTTGGAGTACGGCTCTGTTCTGGCCAGGTAGCATCGCTCGCTCCATGACATCATCCCCACCATTCCACTAGCAGGACGTACCTTAGCTGGGACTACTGCTAGCAAACCGTTGAGGAACAGGAGAGCTCCAACCTTCTCCCCTCCGCGCGGTATCTAATAACTACCAATTCCTGTCTCAAATAGCAGCTTGAAATCGTCGCGGACTGAGCCACACCTGCTTTTACCCATCTTCGCACTCTTCTCATCTTTCCAAGCAGTTGCATAGCCGGGGTAAAGTATTGTTCATTGTTGGCTGCTGTCTTATCTAGCTCTGCGCAGTGAGCAGAACCAAGCTACCGATCGCCAGCACCTCTCTTCAATCAATCCATCCATTCGACATACTGCAGCATAAGCCCGCATCCTCGTTGAATTCATTTCGCCCATCAAAAGCAGTCGAGCAACATGAGTATCGCCGGATTGCCTGATGCGGCCGACATTCCCAATGATGGCACTGGTGAGGCAGACCAACGATCCCTCTCGCGCTCCATCCCTAACAGATTATCGCGGCAGGTGTCGTCAAGCTTGACCCTTGGCTAGAGCCATTCAGCGATGCGCTTAGGCGCCGATTTTCAAAAACACAGGAATGGATCCAAACCATCAATGATTCTGAAGGAGGGATTGATAAGTTCTCAAAGGTTTGTGACATGGCAGATTTGTACTGGGCGAACAGCTTACCTGAGAAAAGGGCTTTAATCACTACGGATTCACCATCAACGACAACACTATCGTGTATCGAGAGTGGGCCCCAAATGCCGAAGCGGCGTATCTCATTGGAGACTTCAGTAAGCTGCTAATTCTCATCTGCGGTATTCATGGACTAATCTCATGCCTGGAAAGATGAGTGGAACCGAGGCTCCCACGCGATGATCAAGAATGAGTTTGGGGTTTTTGAAATTACTCTGCCTGCAAAGAATGGACAGCCACAGATCCCACACAACTCCAAAGTCAAGGTGAGATTATCTGAGCATCGTCAATAACATCCTATCATGGGTCAAACTAAAATATGGCCAGATCTCGCTCACTCTTCCGGGGGGCGAACGAGCTGATCGTCTCCCAGCATGGATCAAGTATGTCACACAGGATCTGGCTGTTTCCCCAGCGTATGATGCTCGTTTCTGGAATCCTCCCACCTCTGAAAGATATAATTTCAAACATCCTCGACCTCAGAAGCCAGCGAGTGCGCGCGTATACGAGGCGCATGTTGGCATCTCATCACCTGATCAAAAGGTTGCGACGTACAAAGAATTTACAAAAAACATGCTGCCCCGAATCAATGATCTTGGCTATAATGTCATTCAATTGATGGCTGTCATGGAACATGCTTACTATGCCAGCTTTGGCTATCAAGTAAACAATTTCTTCGCGGCAAGCAGCCGTTATGGCACCCCGGAGGATCTCAAAGAACTCATTGATACTGCTCATTCCCTAGGAATAGTTGTCCTTCTTGATATGGTGCATAGCCATGCCTCGAAAAATGTCCTTGACGGACTAAATGAGTTCGACGGCACCGACCATCAATACTTTCATGCCGGGGGGAAGGGCCGCCACGATCAGTGGGACAGCCGCCTATTCAACTATGGACATCATGAAGTCATGAGATTTCTTCTAAGCAACCTGCGGTTCTGGATGGACGAGTATCAGTTCGATGGTTTCCGTTTTGATGGTGTGACAAGTATGCTCTACATTCATCATGGAATGGGTTTGTGAGTTACCGTCAAACACTCCATCCTCAAAGACAACTTCTAACTCGCAATAGTGGTTTCTCGGGAGGTTATCATGAATACTTTGGTTCCGAAGTAGACGAAGAGGCGGTAGTTTACCTTGCACTTGCCAACCATCTCCTTCATTCCCTGTATCCTGAGTCCATCACAATCGCAGAAGATGTGTCTGGAATGCCAGCCCTGTGCCTCCCTGTATCTCTGGGCGGTGTTGGGTTTGACTATCGGCTCGCTATGGCTGTCCCAGATATGTGGATCAAGATCCTGAAGGAGGTCAAGGATGAAGAATGGGACATTGGGAACATATGTTTCACTCTGACGAATCGCCGCCATGGGGAGAAAACTATTGCATATGCTGAGAGTCATGATCAAGCGTACGTATGTCCTTTTTATTTTCAGATGCCATCTGCTAATAATTTGCCAGACTCGTTGGAGATAAAACATTGATGATGCATCTCTGCGACGCTGAGCTATATACCAATATGTCTGTGCTTTCGCCTCTGACGTCCGTCATCGACCGTGGAATGGCTCTTCACAAGATGATTCGACTATTGACGCACAGTCTGGGTGGCGAGGGCTATCTCAATTTTGAGGGGAATGAGTTTGGCCATCCTGAATGGCTTGATTTTCCTCGGGAAGGAAATAGCAATTCTTTCTGGTATGCCAGACGCCAGCTGAACCTAACCAGCGATAACCTTCTCCGCTACCAATTTCTTAACAATTTTGATCGTGGAATGAATCGGTGTGAGGAAAAGTTTGGCTGGCTGCACTCACCCCAAGCATTCGTCTCGCTTAAACATGAAGGCGACAAGGTGATAGTGTTTGAACGCGCGGGGCTTGTTTTCATCTTCAACTTTCATCATGCTAACAGTTTCGCCGATTACCGAATCGGAATTGAGGTTCCTGGGACCTACCGGATTGTTTTGAACAGCGACTCCAAGGAATACGGTGGGTTCGGCAGGATTGACGAAGAGACCCGATTCTTCACCACCCCAATGGAGTGGAATGGCAGGAAGAACTGGACGCATGTGTATATTCCATGCAGGACTGCATTGGTGAGTTCCCCATCTGGCGCTGTGAGGAAATTTCTAACCTAGAACGCAAGATTCTCGCTTTGGAGAGCCCAGTCTCCCAACAGGCATAGAAGTGCTCGGGGTATTAATGGGCTAGTTTTGACAAGGCTGTTCTATGATAGGAAGTGGTAGCTTTCTGTCTTACTAATAGAACAGTTGGTGCTTGGTACTTGTTCAGCTGCATAGGGAATATGTTCTCTTAGGAGCAGGTAATCCGAATAGTTGATTGGGGGGATTGACGATGACTTAAGATTAATGGGTGTTGGTGGTTGATAGCATGGTGGCTACTAGAGCCAGTCCACTCTAGACAAGCACCTTGGCCAATTTGTCCTTATGGTGATATTATATACGACTGTTCCTCTACTTCCTCGCTGTGATGGGCCGTCATTCCAGCCTCGATGTCTTCAAAGTCAGCGGAGTGATGAAAGCGGATCACGGCAAGCTTCCTCTGCCCTCCGAAGAAGGCTTCCCCCCCCCGGCTATGCCATGACGAGCCGATCGATGACCTACCGGTGAGTCAGCATGCCTTGGTATAAATACCGAGACGTGTCGGCCTGTAAGTTGCCAGCCAATAATGATCATTACCGGCCAGGCACCCTTGGACATCTTGCTAGAGATAGGGTAAGCACAAGATCGCGTCTAGCTCTTCTATGACAAGCACAGCCCCGCCACCATCTGCGCCATGTCAAGCTCCCCACCTGTGTCTATGACCGCACAGGAGGGACGGTGCCTACCTACCTTGGGTACGGTTGGAGCATTCCTTAGATGTAGGCCGTGCAACTGGGAGTTGTGATCCCGCACATATCTGGACCCGTCATCTTAACCTGTCCCCGAGCGAGAAAACCACGGGGTTCAGTTGAGCCGCCTCCCATCATGCCCGAATCCTCCGCCTCGTCCTCCCCCGAGGCGCACACATCCGCGTCCAAAACCGATGACGAGAAGCCGTACCACTCGAAACGCCCCCACAAGAAATCCAGAACCGGCTGCAAGAATTGCAAAGCGCGCAAAGTCAAATGCGACGAAGCCCGCCCGACTTGCCGGTCCTGCAGACTGCGCAAGACCGAATGCATCTATCCATCTTCATCGCCGCCAAAACCGACACCAGCAGGCACAGTGGTGCCAATCAGGAGCAAAGACTCGTCATTGCCGTCAGTGGAGGCCGAATACTCCAGCAATGACCAGCCCTCCCCGTTCCCGTCTGCGCTCGCGGCATCTTCCATCCCCGGCCAGTCTGATTTCGACCGCGATACGACTACACCGAGTTTCCCTTCGACCGACGACTTGGGCTTGTTACCGTCCATAGTTGTCGAGCCCATGTACCGCCCAGCCCCAGCAGTTGACGAAATCGATATGCGCCTGTTGTGGTTCTATACTACTTCGACGTGCTCCTCCTTCAGCATCGAACGCGGTACAACCAGGCCTCTCGAGTCCCTGATGCGCACCACGGTTGTCCAGCACGCCTTCGAGACACCCTTTCTCATGCACTCGCTGTTTGCACTTGCGTCCCTGCAACTACAAAACCTGGGCAGTGCAATAGACCCACAGCGATCGTTCTACTACCGCGCCAAATCATTCGAAGGCTATCGTAAAGCAGTAGAGGATGCCAACCCTGCCACGATACCTGCGCTTCTCGCCAACTCTTTGTTTCTCACCGCACTCTCCTCGCAGACTTTCCGGGATCCGGATACGAAGGATCTCTATATCGTAGACTGGATGCTTGTTTGGCGCGGGATCGGCCTGATGATTGGCGCTATGGGTGTTGGGCCTATGATTGATGCCGGCCTCAACATACTTTTCTACCGGCCCGTCATGGACCTTGATGAAGCCACATATTCCATCCCCAACAACTTACTTTTTATGGTTTCCTCCATCTCAACTGATGACCCTGACCATACCGAAGTTCAAGTCTACTACAACACATTGAGATATCTGGGTTCCCTCTACTTCAATCTTGCTACCAAGGGGATGACTCCTGTCATGGCCCTCCGAATCATCACCTGGTTCACATTTGTCCCTAGGCGATTTGTAGAGCTCGGAAGGGAAATGCGGCCGCGGGTCATTGTGATATTGGCTTATTATGCCATGTTTCTGAAACTCACCACCGGCATCTGGTGGACAGCTGGTATCGGTGAACGCACCCTACGAGATATCAAAAAACACCTCAACCCGGACTGGATAGATCTGGTGAGAATTCCATTCCAGACAATAAGTGTTGACGACAGCACGAAGGTGGCACGCATAATCTTGCAGGATCCGGAATGGGATAACCCATCCACCATAGCCGGGCTTGCAGAGAGCGAGGAGGCACTGGCCAATGTCCGAAAACTCACCTGGGTTGACAACGTAGGTGAGCCGATCACTTGGAAAGACAATAAACCGGTGCTTGTCAACCCAAACGATGAGGGCTCAACAACACCTACCTGGTCATTATGATCCACTTCCGAGGAGGAGTTAATAATAATCAAAATCAATTCGTAAAATTTATGCAACTGCTACAATTGAAAGTAGAAGGTCTTGTAGTGCTTACACAGACGTGAGAGATTGGGAAATATTCTTGTGGTAAGCTGTTGGTCCAGCACGTCCATTTAGACGAGTGATTAATTTCGTACATAGAAAATTGCTTTTGCTCTAGTAATATGTATACTTCGTCTGATATCATGAAAATAGGCTACGTACTAGGGGAAACTCCAGACATCTTAAGATCCATATTGAATCGGCTGATTTTGAGACACGTCGATGACATAAAATACGAAGGAATTTGCCTAATAATAAGAAGCCAATTAGGAACGCAATTATCTTCAAATAGGTTATCAAAGATCGTTTCTCATCGTGGCTTCTATTGTCAATCAAGGCATACTCGTTCTACCTGAGGCTTATAGACTATACCGCGTTTAATTTCAGTAGCCTGCACCAGACAGCCATGATCATTGGAGATCTACACCACGAAGACTGCGAGCAAGAGTACGAATGAAGACGCTGTTACGAGGCCTAAGTCGGGAATTCACCGCCGTTCACATGATATTACATCAGGCCGTCGATCTAACAAAGGAAACAAGCTGACTTATTGAGTAATCATGGCTACAGGAGGAATTTTTGTTGATTTCTTGTTACACAGCCCACGAACGAGACTTAATGGAGCGTTTAGCAGAAACCTCCCCTATGGCCAACCGTTCATCCTTCTGGTCTATACACACAGGCCTAAACTTCTCCATCCGCTCCGAGGTATTATTTCACGATCCCCCAGAGAAACCGCTTAGCTCTTCTGCTCGAGTTCAGCGAGAATCTTCTCACCCTTCTCCTTGGCCGAGGCGAAATCACCAACCATGTAGAAGGCGTTCTCGGGAAGGCTGTCACCCTCACCGCTGAGAATGGCCTTGAAGGAGCTGATGGTGTCCTTCAGGTCAACCAGCTTACCCTCGATACCAGTGAAAACCTGGGCAACAGTGAAAGGCTGGCTCAGGAAACGCTGGATCTTACGGGCACGCTCGACAGTAAGCTTGTCAGCTTCAGAAAGTTCGTCCATACCCAGAATGGCAATGATATCCTGGAGAGACTTGTATTCCTGAAGAATCTGCTGAACACGAGTGGCAGTCTCGTAGTGCTCATCACCCAAAATACGGGGATCCATCATACGAGACTTGGAGTCGAGAGGGTCGACAGCAGGGTAGATACCCAGCTCGGAAATACCACGGGACAAGACAGTGGTGGCGTCCAAGTGAGCGAAGGTGGTGGCGGGGGCAGGGTCAGTCAAATCGTCAGCAGGGACGTAGACGGCCTGGACGGAAGTGATGGAACCCTTCTTGGTAGTGGTAATACGTTCCTGCATACCACCCATATCGACGGCGAGGGTGGGCTGGTAACCGACGGCAGAGGGGATACGACCCAGAAGGGCAGACACCTCAGAACCGGCCTGGGTAAAGCGGAAAATGTTGTCAATGAAGAGCAACACTGATTGATGGTTAACATGTGCTTCTTAGATCGAGCTTTGAATAGTGAGGCACTTACCATCCTGACCTTCCGCATCACGGAAGAATTCGGCTACAGTCAAACCAGTGAGAGCGACACGGGCACGGGCACCGGGGGGCTCGTTCATCTGACCGAACACCAGGGCCACCTTGGACTCGCCATCAAGCTGAATGACGGAGGTTTCCTGCATTTCGTGGTACAGATCGTTACCCTCACGAGTACGCTCACCGACACCAGTGAACACGGAGTAACCACCGTGAGCCTTGGCAATGTTGTTGATAAGCTCCTGAATGAACACGGTCTTACCGACACCGGCACCACCGAAGAGACCAATCTTTCCACCACGAGCGTAGGGAGCAATTAGATCGACAACCTTGATACCAGTGGCGAGAATCTCAGCAGCGGTAGACTGCTCAGTGAACTCGGGGGCTTCGCGGTGAATAGGGAGGTGGTTCTCGGACTTGATGGGGCCACGCTCGTCGATGGGGTCACCAGTGACGTTCATGATACGTCCCAGAGTAGCGTTACCGACGGGAATGGTGATGGGAGCACCGGTGTCCTTGGCGGGGGCACCACGGGTAAGACCCTCAGTACCTAATACAGTTAGATGTGACGAGATTTCGGATGGATTTCACGACTTACCGTCCATGGCAATGCAACGAACGACGTTCTCTCCGAGATGTTGCTGATCAAGGTCAGCTGGGTGGACTCGAATGCGAACTTGTGAGGCGAACTTACCGAGACCTCGAGCACGAGCTTCTGGCCATTGTTGTCGGTCTCAAGAGCGTTCAGGATAGCAGGCAGCTTGGCAGTGTCGAACTTGACTATAGCAAAGTTAGCAATTGAAGGCGGTGATTGACGTGGTCGCCAGCTGTCAACTTGAGCGACTAACCATCCACAACGGCACCGATGACCTGTCCAATCGTTAGCCTCAATTCCTCCAAGACGCAGGCTCATTTGGCCAGCAGCAATCGACGCGGCGGATCTCACCTGGTAGATCTTGCCATCACCGACACCAGCAGTGCTCGCGAATCGGCTGTTGAGGGCTCGGAAGGGGGCAGGCTTGACGGCACGCAGAGGAGCCGCAGCCCGGAAGGCAGGACGA